TCATAAGTTCAGCTGCAATTGCAAGATGGAGAAAAGGCAAGTTAAGTGGTTTGAGGGGATCTTGAAACCCTTCTAAAATCATTTCATATGAACTTTTCATTTCATATGAACTTTTAGCTTGCTTTTTAGAAATTGCCAGGACCTGTCACAAAGTCTGCTAGCACATCAGAAAGTGGAAAAACTGAGAAATTTGGATAAATAGCCACTGAGAAAGAAGGAAATGTGCGTAACATGCAATTGTACAGTTTTTAACATGAGAAATTTTATCTTGTTCAAATTTTGACTAGTGATAGGAAGCTCTGGTGCCCCTTTTTACTGAGTGAGTCGTAGTTAAAAAACTCACTTGCAACCTCCAGCATACACATTCAATGCTCTCAATTCTTTCTTCTCAATCTGAGAATTCAGATACAAATATCTTTAAATGATGAGAAAAATGAAAACCCCCTTACTATTCCCCTAGCATTTCAGTGAATCTGCTTCCTTTAAGGAGTGCCCAAAACAAAAAAAAGTCCCAGTAAAAGAGGACAATTTGGGTTGAACTAAATGAAAAAGCTCTGATTTTCATTTGGATAAAGGGATACAACTGAAATCATAAACTCCTGTGAGAATTTTTGTGCTTAACTGTTTTTTTTTGGTTTTTTTTGCTATTGTGGTTCTTCAAGAGGTGAACCAAAAAAAAAATCAGTTACCCACCCAGGTCAATTTAGGAATACTATAACTCTGGAATACTGCATAGGCAGAATCCTCAAATCTTTAGACAAGTATATTGGAAGAAGGAAAACCTTAAATGAAACATTATATATATATATATATATATTTTAATCTTTAAACGATATCACTTCAGTCTATCTGCTTTTGGCAGATACTGCAATACTGTAAGTAAAGGAAGTTCTGGTGGGGGGGGGATAAAAAAGAGCTTTTTGGGTTTTTGTATCTTCACTGTAGGTTTTCATAATAGAGACCTGCGAAGTCCAAGGCAATGTAAGATGTTCCATGGAACGATTCACTGGAAAATTCTCACAGAAAATATGCAAAACTCTGAAGATTCTAAATGGATTTTCTTTTTTAGGCACACACTCAAAACAACTGCAGCATTAAGAATGAATCTGTAAGACTTCTAAGAAAGGGTGTTTTGCAACACACTATGGGAGAGTGGAGGGAGAATAGAGCGGGGTGGATGCATTTATTATGAAAAATATCTTGCAAATAATGAGTGCTTACTTCAGAGCATGGAAATGTTTAGCTACAATGCAGTTTGGATCATATGCTTAGGAACAGATTTTTCCTTCCAGTGTGCATGCCTAGCTGCCATTTCCATTAATGGGAATTAAGTACATGTGTCAAGAGGAGAAGTTAACTCTTAGAAATAAAACTAATCTATGCCTTTTTTAAAGAATGTAAATGCCATATCAGGCATGTTCAGTGTTGGCAAAACTGAATGCTGAATATAGTATAGCAAAATCTGAGAAGGAGAAGGCGGTCTGGAGGACTGAAATTTCTGTGCTATTTAGAGTTTTTCAATTTACTGCATTTCTTCAAGGAAAAGTAAAACCATCTCATTTGTAAGTGGGAAGCCCTCATTTATCAGTTATTCACTTGCACTTTTAGCAAGGCCCTACCATCTGCAACCCTCCCTGTGAAAAAGGACTGATGCTATCCTTAAAAAGAAATCTGAACCTTCATCTAAATTCTAACTTCCCTGAATATTACAATAAAGTCCTTATTTATTTTTTTAAAGGAGGTTGAAACTCACTCTTTTATCTTGTGCACTCTGAATCAGCCAGGGTAAAGGAATCTCAAGATTAATATATTTGCAAACTATAAGTAGGGATTTTTAGAAATTAAAATAATACATGTAAACACATTTAAAATTAAATTACATCTCTACTTTAGCAAAAAGTAACTTTTAATCATAAAACCGAGAAATATTAGTGTGATGGCACAATCTGGGTTCTGTGTCACTCCCCCACCCCTCTCTATTTTGGGGGTTATTATTGTTTTATTATTTCTGTATGCTTTCAGTTACATACAAGGTCTCTTTACTGTTTATCTTAGTATCCTTGGTTTCCACAGAAGTAGCTTGAAAAAAAAAATAAACAAAACCAGGACCATTTAGAAAAAAAAAATAGTCATAAAAATAGAGTATACCCATGGATAGGAACTGTGATTGAAATTACTTAAGAAGATAACTGGATTTAAAATTTACAGTTCCTCATTAAGGTTCTGAACATAAAATGTTACTAAAATAGGAACCTATTGCTCCCAGTCTTTTTTTTTCTTAAGGTTGTTTTTTCAGTGTAGTTATCTGGCACAGAACATCCCATCCTGAGTGATGCCCACAGCCTCACCTTAGGCCAGTGTCCCTGCTCTGCCTCCTTCCCGCTCACAGGGACGATTCCTTTCAGTGACAGGTCTGTTTACTATCAGTGCCCATCCAACCTTCAGCCTCCCCAGTGACAATGCCAGCAGGAATGTTCTCCCTCAGTGGCATTCCCAGTGACTGCTGTGAACATGTAAATGCTTGCCACAATACCCACAGCCCTGACCCCAACACATTCCCACAGAGAACCGACTCCCAGCAAAGGGAGATTGCTCCCTTCTTCCCTGGTGCTTCTGCAAGACTTTACAAGCAACACAAACTTCTGAGCCTGAGTATCCTAAAACCACAACTTTGATCTATTTGTAGGTAATTATTGTCGAGTGGGATTCCAAATGCACTGAAATTGAGACTGTCCTGCTTGCCCCATTCGGCCTTTCTTCATAGCTCTCACAATTCTTATGCCACCATGTTCTTATCGCTCCCACAACAACAATTCTGTCTCTTTTTTTTTGACTGATCCAGTGAACAAGATCAGTCACCACATTTTGTCTCTGTATTTCTAATATCACTGCTTTTTCCACTCTAGTCTGCTCTAACTTGAAGACCAAGGACATTGGGTTTAAAACAAACAGGTTTGCTTTCAGTGATCACCAAGCAACACGCAAGTAGAAGTGCAAGGGTGTTTTGGAATAGTCCACATCACCCAGTCCTCTGTGTTTGGTGAAGGCATTCCAGCCTTTCTCTTGTGGTCATGAGGTTTGCTCTGGTGTTTGCCATCCAAATTCTCCCCACCCACACATACATTGACTGTCTGCTCTCCTTACTAGAAGTGGTTTGCTTGGAGTGCCATCACCATCATTTGTGACACTTTTAACACAGAACTACAGCCACTCTGAGCTAACCAGACTGAACTCCTTGCAAGTGTGCATTACTCAAACAGAGTTTCATTCATGGATGCCCTCCATTTTATGTGCCTCACTGGATTATGAAAAGTAGCATTATAAAGTTCTTCAAAAATAATATTACCATTTGTTACTCACTTTTTACTGGAGAAACAGTGAAGAAACAGGTCTTTTGTAAGAAATATCCTCTATCTGAACCAGTTTACAGTTTTGACTGCAATTGCAATTAGACAAAGGAACACAAAAAGAGGTAACATTCCTACATTCTGTAAACTCTTTATCTATTCTATTCTCTTTTAGTCAGTATAATAATAAGGACTCACATAACTGCTATCTAGAAAATGTTTCATAAATAGAAATACTTAAATGTCAAATTCAAAACAAATTTGGAAATACATTCCTTTCTTGTATGCCATGCATGAGATCCCCACATTATGTATACAGTCTATAACAAGATTAATACAAATCAGTGTTTATTAAATGCAGTCCATTGATATTTAACTTACTATACAAGTCACTGTGAAGATCAAACTCTAAATTAAGTGGTGATTCTAATGACATTAAATGCAAGGGAAGGAGATATAAAACACATTGCCGTCTTACACCTTAAAACAGTGAAGAGCAATCAGTGAGTATGTAGAGTTACATTGCATTTATAAAGTTATAAAAGCATACATAACCCTTAATTTACTCTAATGGTGCTCTGATGAAGTTTTATAAGTGATTTTCCACTTCTGAGTAAAAGCAAAAATCTAAACTCCTACTTCCAGCACACAGACTTCAATTCAGCCACTATTACAGAGAAATAAATACATAAGCATAGCATAAAGCAGACCAATGGCTTGTTATTGCTATTTCTATGGAGGCTTAACTCTTGCTTCTCATCTCTCATTACATGGGACAGCTAGAGCCTAGAAACATTGCCAGGGCAGAATGCTAAAGGCCCCTGGGAATGCTTCTGTACCTTGTACAGGAAAAATGGAGAAAATACTGCCACAGAGCTCTGAAGCATAAATATGGGAAAATCGGAATATCTGGGGACACTCTTCAAAAGCCCTAATGCAACCCAGGTACAGGGCTGACTACTTTCTAGTACCAATTAGCCTGTAAGACAGATCTTCAACAGTTGCCATTGAGGTATATTCAGAATATAAAAGAATCAGAAAGGAGATGTAAAAAAAAAAATAAACAAAAACACAGGGAAAAAAAAAAAGACCACTGGACTGAGACAGACAGACATGCATTAAGATAAAAATACAAAGAACTTCTTAGGAATGTTTATCAAAGAAAATTTATGTCATAAATTTTCCTCTGCCTGGAGAAGATCCAGAGCTGAGTGTCTCTTCTCTTGCCATGTAACATTGTACTGAATCCAGACTGCACATTTGGTCACCCACTTTTTGCTTTCAATAACATTTTCTATTTCTAATGTGGCTTTTGTTTTGTTGTACAAAGTTTAATTTCTATTTCTTTTCAATTCATTTTCTTTTTGTCATTATTTCAGAGTTGTGTTAAAGTAATTAGTGACATGATGCCAAGGACTGAACTACACAAGCAACCTAAATATTTTGATTCACTGAGAATTCAGTCCATAATTTACAAAGTGCCTGACCCCATCCAATAAATAAAATAAAATAAATTAGACAACTTCTGAATGTTAACAGTCTGAGCCATACAGAGAAAAACATCAAAATGCAGAAACAGTGTAATGTCACCACATCAGATATAAGATAGTCTTTTGACACTTTTTCAAGAAATGAAATCACTTTTGTACTTACCTTTTTAACATTTGCATGTGGCTACTACCCTTTCTTGAGAGCAATGTGGTTCAAAATCTGGGCAAGGATTTCACAAGTGAGAATGCCACAGCTGCAACTTGTTTTCTTAAGGAAGTCTGAGCTAGCAATAGAATGGCAGCAGGTGTTTCCAGAAGTGCAAATTGGGTGGAAAACTAAAGGAGACATCTACCTTTTTCTTCTTCAGGTGTTTGTTTGTTTGTTTGGGCTTTTGTGGGGATTTTTTGTTTGTTTTTTTGTATTCATTAATTTTATTTTTTTTTTAACTGGCATTGACTTTTTCATTTATTTTACAACTTGCTATAAATTTTTTAGAAGGGTCCCAATACTGTAGTCAATGTTAAAACCTGCTGTATGCAGCCAGGACAGGCATTTGGCACAAAAACAGCTTTGTGCCTATAATCTCTAAAAAGATCACAGCTTTTAGGGTGATTTGTGGGCCATGACACATAGGGCCACAAAAACATGACATTGCCAGGATTTGTGCTTCATTGCATGAAAAAAATGTACATCATTTAATAAAAGCAATTTTTTCTTATGTTAGTTTGAAAAATCACCACTGAACTGAAGTGAGGACTCTGCCTCAGACACAAAGTACAGCCTGCATCAAAGTAGTTCTTCATTAAATTATCTCCTAGATACTTCAAACAAGGTGGGCCCAGACTGGACAAGTGTTCTGTAATGAGGGGGGAAACTTATTCCTGTCCCTCATCTCCTGCTGAATGCTTTAACTGCTTTATTACTTCAGAAAAGTATATAAATCCAAATACATGTTACTTCTCAGCCAAAAGTAAATTATAAGTTACATAGAGGACTGTTTCCTATTTTGTGTGTTTGATTTGACTGACTCATTATTATAATAACTGAAAAAATAAAAAGTAACTGATCACCCTTTCTTTTATTTAATAAACTTCTATTTTATTATTTAACTTTTCTCTAGAAAGTCTTGCAGCTTTTTCCTCATATAGAAGCCAGTCTATCCAAGAACCTTGTGAAGGTCTTTTTCAAAAACTGCCATTGAAGGGGGGGAAAAAAAAATCTAATGATTTTATTTTATTATTTGTTGACAAGCTCAAGCAATTATCTTTATGCATAATTTTTTCTCTACAAAAGCTATGTTGATGGATAGCTATTGTATCAGAACACTCATCTGAATACATATTAAGTTAGCAGCCCTATTTGAGCTCATCATCAATTTCCAGTCGCACATTTTGATATGTCCAACTTTACCCACTGCTCTGTTGCTCTTCATTTGATGAGTTTAGCATCTGCTTTTCCTTCACTTTTTTCTCTGACAGTAGCCAATCCTTAATATTGCAAAAGAATGGGTACAGGTTAGATTTCCCTCTTAAGCCTTATACAATTGAATATGACCAGGAAATAATTTTATTTTTCAGCAAACCTGTCCCCCTTTTTACCTATTATTCTGTGTTACAGTAGCAAGGAAAAAAAACCTTAACTATTATTCTGTGTTACAGTGCAGAGGGAAAAAATATTTACAAATGTGACATGAAAACACCTGAATTTATTCCATGTAACTTCAGCACATTCCAAAACAATAAGCTTGTTTTGAATGGGGTTTTCCCACGTTTCTAGCCAGTGATATTCCTGTTGTCCTCCAGTTTTAGGCCATACCTATTCCAATGCCACATTTCCTCTCCTAATACTGCATACTGAGCTGTGAAAATCAGGTTTTCCAACAACTTGGAGCCAAGTCCATACTCCAGACTTGGGAAGCCTTTGGGGGTTAATGAACTTTAACCATGCATTGATACCAAGGATATCCAGAAAAGCAGAGCCTGTCTGCCATATTAAAGATGATGTGAAAAGGCATCAGCTCTCCAGAACTGAGGGAACTATAGGTTCCTGCAACTGGGAATTGGACCAGGGATTGTACAAGATGTACATTTTGTACCATGTAAGAGTTTTGATAGTCTCTGCACATGGTTGGATTAGTCCATATAAGAAAAAATACTGGGTTTTTTTGAAATGATCCAGTGACTTGCATTTACAAATTCGACTACAGAGTTTTGTGTGGCTACTGTGCATGGCTTGATTATTTTGATAAGCATGAGAGAAAACATATAAAACCAGGATGAAAGAATTTCAGTATTGATTGAAACCATACATGTTGGGTTTTTCTTTTTAATTGAAATAAGACATATTTCTTATAAACCTTACAAAATTTCTCATTGCACTGAAATTTTACCTGCAAACACAGTTTCATTACTGGTAAATATTCACAACCTCTGCCACTCTCTCCAATGTCCATACAGGGCCTGCAACCTATCCCTAAAACACAGGATAGTCAGTCAGGGAATAACTCCTAGAACTGTATTTTTAAGGGTTGTTACACACAAGATCTGTGTACCACAATGAATGCTCATGAGTGAATATTCAGTTATTAATATAACACAGGGAGTTTACTAAATGAGGAGGAGTACAGCGAGCAAGCCTCTGAGAAACAGTTTGTTTGAGTACTCAGATTCTCAGGTTAAAGAACACCAAGGAATGGCAGGAGGGAGGCTCCCACCTCCATGGGCAGCCCAAAGGCAGCAGACACAGGACATACACTGAACTGGATCTCACACCACATGAACAGTGAATCCTGTGCACTTTTGCTTCGTTAGCCTGGCTACACATAACCACTCTGCATAAACCAGGAGCACCTGTCCAAGGTTGTCAGATATTCAGCATCAGTCGCTGAAGTCAGGTGTTGCTGAGCTGTTCCTGGCTGTCCAAAAATGTTACAGATATCACTGAACAAAGCAAAAGGCAGTAGATTATCTCTGAAAGCCATAGCATGTTGCTAATTCTTTACAGTTGGTGTGCCTAGAGATGTTTCAGGCTGAGAACATCTCCTGAGCAGGCTCCAGCACAGACCAGGAGCACTGGAAGGCCTCTCAGCATCATTCTAAACTGGACTGATCACTTCCATTCCCATACCAATGAATAAAAGCTTCCTCAGAGTACAGACAATTCTTACTTGTCATGATATTCTTTACATAGTATTTGTGGTCATTTTCTGAAAAGTGTGACCACACTCCTTGCACTTAGGCATTTATTCACATGTAACCACATAAGTATCACTGCTTTCTCAGTGATGGAAGTATTCAAAGTGTTAGGTTTGGGTATTGAGATATATTTCAACACCAAAAATTAAAAAAAAAACCAAACCACCCAAGCATAATAAAAATAATGAAAAGATTTTAGAAAGTGCCTTTATGAATATAAAGGATCTATAAAGCCGTCACTAGGTGGGTCCATAGCAATGGATTAGACTTTGAGAGATGTTACATGCAGAACACTGATGATTAAAACAGATGCAATATAGACTAAGAGAGAAGGTGGAAATGGGAAAGTGAAATGGGAGAGATTCTTTCCTCCAGCTGCAGAGGCATCAGACCTGGAAACCAAGGGGCTGAGGAGCTGTATTTTGCACTGCCTGCCCATTCTTTAGATGGCTTTTGCTAAGAAGAGTACAATTCATATAAGAGCAGAAGTTACTCATTTTCTCTGGTAAGCAGGTCCAGGTGCTCAATGAAAGTTCTCCTTTCCTTAGGAAAAGAAGGTTAAGGATAAAAGAAGGGTTTTTTTTTCAGATCCAAATCTCTGTACCTTCAAGCCAAAGGAGGAACATTCCTTATTCATCTTAGCAAATATTTATTTGGGACAGTGAGTGGAAAGTGTAATTTCTTAATTTCCTTTCCTCTTGAACTGCCTTATTGTGGTGGCCAGAAGGCCTCAAGATTATAATTTCTCCTAACTGTATAACTGAAGCATAAATTATTGTATGAGTACCTTGAGTATATAATGTGACCAGTAGGTTATGTAACTGGACCAGTTTGGACTGATGGGTAGCAGGCCCAGCCTTTGGGGACTGAGCACTCAATAAAGTGGGCTGTTGTGCAGGAACATTGGTGGGTTTTGTTGTATTCCTGCCTCCACCATCAGCAACAAGTACGGTGTTAGTTCCAGGAAGAAAACCTTTGCTTTTTGGTCTGGTCACGTTTATCCAGGTTTAGTCACACTTCAGCCAAGAGGAAACAGCCTCAATGCGGCCACCATGACAGCAAGAAAGGAATAACAGGTATTTTCTCATTTCTGCTAAGCAGTAGCTCCTATCAGAATACAAAGATGATGAAAAACGTGGGTGGCTTGTTTGGTTCCAGCTGGCTTCACATCACACAGTAAGGAAATGCCATGATCTTTGACAGGTTCATATTAGCAAAAAATCAAGCAAAAGATTATGGGAAAGCTTCCCATTCCATTATCAAATAATTTGGGGGAGGGAGAAGGATGGGAGACTAACAGTTTTTCTTTCTAAGCTCTCAGGAAATGTCTATTTTTATGACCCTTTTAGTGTTGAAAGCATTGTCTGAAATAAAGACTAATCTCAAAGGATGTGAAAGCAAACCTCTCGTTAGACTGCTCAGAAAATTTAAAGCAGCAAGAAATTAACCATTTTCATCTGGTGGAGCTGCTGGCCATCAGGTATAACTCAATGACTGGAGACAGGTGCCAGGGCCTGGAGCCCACCCCCAGGACTCTCTCCACCCTACCCATGGCTCAGAACCCCATTTCAGCCCCAGGGCCATCAGCCCTTGTCCCAGGGATGCTACAGCATGGCCAGGCTCCAGCTCCCCACAGCCCTGCCAGACCTGCCCAGCCCCACACCCTGGCTGTGTGGATGTACCCCACAGCCCACCTGGGGGGAGCCCCCATAGCCCCAGGCCCTGTTGGCACCCTGACAATGAGTCCTACATCATCACACACCCATAACAAAACCTACCCAACAGCCCCCAGTACCTACAGTAAATAAAAATCAACATCATGAGCATCTTTCTTAGGGAGATGAGAGTGGGAACATGGCACTCATACATGAACACACACCCAGTTACACACATAAGCTGTCTATACACTGTATTAGGTGTCTTAGACATTATACAGTCTGATCTGTGGAAGGAAGCTTATTAAAGAGCATGGGGACAGAATTTAAATACCACCCCCACTGGTGTTTGAATTCACTGCTGCCAAGAGACTGCTCCTTGTCTTTGGACCTCACAGCTCA